GCTATAAAATAAAATAAATGTGGGTTCATAATAGTATAAAATAAATGTGGGTTCATATGGCTCATTTTGATGTGGGTTTCTTTAATAGATAAAGTGATTCTTAAGGAAGATTTATGTATAATATATGCATATTACACCCGTGCGAAGCTGGGGCGGGTCGCTAGTAATGAATATACGAAGACTGCGCCTCAAAGAGTTGAAATATCGTGTCGAGAGTGTAGTGGGGCGGTTTTTTTAAAGACTTCATTGCGACAAATTGCTAAATTAAGGATTTTCTCCTGTGTCGTGTCGTGGGTGCCGTGCGATTCTTAGTACCTGTACAATTTAACGTGGGCATAGCCAGCAAGGGGTTCAGGGTGGGGCAAGCCTAAAAAAAGATGTAACCGGCAAACGATACCTATATATTATACGCGCGGTTTTACACTGCTTATTTTTTCATACAAGCAAGGACTGTGAAGTAAGTAAATGTAATGTGTTTACGTTTTGCCGTTACTTAAGTCTATCTATACTACCTACATGAAAACGATGAAAAAATTTATGGACGAGGTAGGTAATAGCTTCCTTGAAACTACTCGGATCAAAGTTGTCAGACTTCGACGAAAATACTTCCTGATCACACCCTCGAAACTCACGACAATACAACGTGCGATGGCATCCCAAAATGCTGTCGAAGAGAAAGATAAGAAAATCTCTGCGAAATGACATCCAACAATAACGTAATACGAATAGTATATATATACTATAGTAGTAAAGAGGCGATACCAAGGCTCCAAAATGTTCCCAAAGTTTAAAGAGCTTAAAAAGAACAACATGGTGATGATGGAATCACTTCACTTAACGCCCAGACTAAACATGCTTTTGCTAAACGTTTCTATTTATTTCTAGGACCTTACTTGTATAACAGAATCAATAGAACGGTAAATATTTATAGCTTAAGTTATAATAAGTGTAAAGTAATAGTATCAGAATATTTAGATAAACTCAATTACACAGACACCGAAAAACTACTAGAAACTGTGAAATAGATCTAATAGGTATATGTATTAAACTTGATATTTCCGTTGTTTTAATATTATTTATGTACCTAGATATAAAAAAATTACATTTATTGTTATTTAGTCGTAAAATCATTTTTCTTTTCTGCTTGGTATATAAATAACTTCGTTTATAAATTGTGTAGATTTTGCGTTCTCACATTGACATCTTAATCTCATCTTAAGTGGAGTGATGGCCTGAAACACAGGTTTTTACTGAAACCTACCTCAGGCGGGACGCTACAGTTTAAAAAAAAGTACCTAATTGTACTCATCCTAAATTTATCTTTGATTATTTCAATGTAAGTTGTTTTTTATATATTTTTTTTTAGTAATTATAATTTACCATAATTGTATAATAATCAGACTACTGTTACATCTTTTGGAAGTTTTTGTGTTTAATAAACGATTTTTACTTCAAAGCTTCTGAATAAAAAGCTGTACTGAAAGTCCTTCAGACTCTCTTTAACTTTGTCTTGCTCAAATGAGTAACGTCGTATACAACGAACAGAATAGGCTGTGTTCTTCTTCAAGAAAAATTTCAACGCTAAAGGCCTATTATTTGATCGAAACTTAGAGCTCTGTCTTATTAAGACGCCATGGCGACATAGTCAGAGCATCGCTCTGCGAGTTAGGTACCATAGGCATACATTTCAGTATTAACTGCTAGGATACATAGATGGCGACGTCACCATGGCATTTTTAATAAGGCAGGACTGTAAAACAGTGTTGAGATCACTTTAGCGGTACTGCTGTTACATCGGTACATCGATCAGGGCGTCGAAACATAAAAACACTATCATATTGAACTTGAAGGACATTCCTCTACATCTAGTCGTAAGGTAAGCAGGTGTCACTATCATTTCTTCAAAGCTGTGTAGTTACTGCTCGTAGAACGGAAAGGATCTGGCACCAACTTAACGTTATCAATATATACATAGTATAAAACAAAGTCGCTTTCGCTGTATGTCCGTATGTATGCTTAGATCTTTAAAACTACGCAACGGATTTTGATGCGGATTTTTTTAATAGATAGTGTGATTCTTAAGGAAGTTTTGTATGTATAATACATTCATATTGCACCCGTGCGAAGCCGGGGCGGGTCGCTAGTTAAGTATATTTACGTAAGACGATGTTTTACATATTTCGTTTCCGTTAAGTTTACGACATTATAGTCATAATGTCCTAGTTTCCCAACAAATAGGGCTCTGAATAAACATGGTCAAGACAAAAGTTATGTCGAATGTTACGCGTAGGAGATGGAGATCAATCGCCGAATTTAACTCAACATCTTCCGTCTTCTTGTCCAACTTGTCTATGTACCTCAAGATTCTTAAGACGGGAGTCTACAATCATTATGTTTTTTTATTATTTTATTAATTTAAGGAACTTTTAACAAAGTGTTACACCAGTTCAATCGAAACCTTATCTAACAAATACACAATTGCAAGGTAACTAATGAATAAACCAATATAGCTTCAGGTGACATTGGTTGACCCAAGATTACATTAAATGTACCTAAATCTCGCGTATTTATGTTAAGTTCACAAATTAACTTGCTCCTTTCAGATTCATTTCTGACACACTGCACCAGAAGATGATATACATCTTCCTCTTTATTAATACACATACACAGTAAGCAATTCGGAGAGTCCACAATTCTCATGAGACAAAGGCAAGCAATGAAAGCAAAGGCTCTAAGTGGCATATGTCCGGAACGCATTCTAAAATATGTTATTAAAATCTAGCAGTTAGCTTCAAAATTACTAAACCATGGGATTCGAGGAGGCTCCTTTTGGATTGTATTATACCATATCCCTTAATCTTTTGATCTTTCTCTAAAATTCTCTTAATCATTATGTTACCAGTGATAACTTTCGGAAAAGAAACGTGCTCTTACTTTGTGCTTTGTAAGAAACCTCAAGGTCACTCAGCGTGCTAAAGCTGTCTTAAATCAGAAAAGACGACGATCCACAAATCAACGAAAGTCGCTAACACTAACGTTACTATACATAGGTACCTATATCATAGGATTAGCAAGCTGATGTAACAGTGGGCAAGGTACAACGCACTTAACTTAGATCTGAGGGTTAATGGGCCCCCTCTTTAAGATGTGGCTTGAATGACGCTATGGCGTCCTGACCTACCGCCTGACTCGATGCTTACTGGAGACGGAATGTTAGCCGAGCATAATACTGGATGTCGAAGAAGATACATGACGTTAGACATAAAACCTATAATTAAGACCACGGGAATGGATGACGGCCGTGTATCATTGAAGTTAAAGTTGTAACTGATACGATGATGAAGAACCAAAAATTGTGGTTGAGCCAACTGACCCGCTTTCATTTCGATCGCATTGAGCGATTGTCAAGTACCTTTATAATTTATTGTAAATACTAAACAGTTTTTGTAGTGACTACCTTATAATAATAATAACAATATAGCTTTTTATTCAGATCCTTAACTTACATTACGTTACACTTACATTTAAAAGCAACTTAAAGTTAAAAATTAATCTACTATTTGTTGTTTGGTGATCTTTTGCAAAGACCTCCTCCAACCTTTTCCACTCTGTCCTTACTTGAGCCACTCTGTTCCACGTCACACCTGCCACCTCTTTGATGTCATCGTCCCATCGTTTCTGCGGTCTCCCGCTCTTTCGTTTTCCTTCCCTTGGGTACCATACATTTACATTTTATATCAAATTTCTAAAATTATTTAGACGCCACTGAAAAACGGTGAAGAAAAACATCGTGAGAAAATATGGACTTATAATTTCTAATTATAAGTTTGTAATCGCCAACCCGCATTGAGCAAGCGTGGTGAATGCTTAAACCTTCTCCGTGTGAGAAGAGGGTTTGCTCAGCAGTGTGCATTTATAGGGTGATGATGATGAACCTAAAATTGGAACCAGTGTATAGGTACCAATAAGTTAACCGACCAATTGTTAGCAATTGGTTGGTAAACCAATAAATAGAATAAAAAATATTTAAAAACAAATAAAATTACTAAATGTCTTGGTTCTATGTTGCTAATATGTATATTATTAAACACGATAGTTATTGTAAACTTGAGTGCCCAGTAAGATATGTTTATGTTGATGTAAACAATTAAATTAGACCTGACTAGCTGCGTATAATTATGTGAATGTCAGTTTGTAGTTGTCATGCTGATTTAAAGGTCTCATTGGCACCGGCGTTGGATCGCTTGATTTCTTACAATATGATTGTGTTGGGCGATGTGTGTGTATCATATTATGCTAATAGAATAGCAATGAACAAAATTGTTGACTATGATCTCCTCAATGAATAGTTCGAGCAATATTACACGCTGCAATTAGTTGCTCGCATAAGTTCTGAACTAAACTTCTGACCGGCCTATCTGGAAGTCATTGTGGCTGATATAATGATGATGATGATAAGTTCAAAACTATTTTGATAAATTAACAACTTAGCAAGTGCTTTGTTCTATCCGTATCATCGACAGTTTCGAAATGATTTTTAATTTTCATACGATTTTCGATTTTTATATACCTATTTACAGTTCCGCATAAAATTCGTATTCGTACATACCTACTCATGTATAATCAAGTAAGATCTTTATTTTAACATGTACCTTTCAAATTATATAATAGTATCGTCAATAAAAAATCTCCTTTGTAAATTAAATGAAACTAAACAAAACTGGCATGATGACAAGGTATTGAAAAACTGACATGACTAGGTATTGAAGGCACTGACTATTTTGGTGTTATCTGTTAGGTACATCCACTTAAATTCAATATTTTATTATAATTTTCAAAATTAAATTTATTTGTTCATGATATTATTTAATAGCTAGTAATAAGCAAGTTAATCGTTATTTCTAAAACATTTTTATAACATGATAGATTCAAGACAGCAATTCAATTGAAATAACATTTTTTTTTCACAGTTGGTAACACTGTCATAATACTCACAATCGCTTGCGCTGTGTGTGAGCGCAGATGATTTTGAAAACAGAAACGTAGTGTATAATTCATGCACATTTTATCCACTTTACGTGACGTCGTCGCGTCCATTAATACAGTTCCTGATAGCGTCTTCTTGTTTGATTGTGGTTGTAGACCGTACGTTTGTCACTCAAATTAATTATTCGGGTCACAGTGATATGTGTAATTTGTTTCTTAGTGAGTCATTCTAGTTTTTGTTTGTGTTACGTATAGACCATTATAACAATGTTATCTCTTGTTTTAAAATAGTTATTTAGTGATAGCTGCCTCGTGTTAAATCAAAGTGATGGATTCGCCGCCGGTACCAAAACCAAGGAGTGCTTTTTTGCCTCCTTGTGAGCCTGTAACTCGGCCTGTGCCTGTTCCACGTACCAAATTGCCTCAGCCTACAGAAAGGGTCACTGCTTCTGACATATTTAAATCAATAAGTTCTGTTTCAAAGCAACTATCTGAGGATGTGGCACTGAAAGTAAGTAATTCTGCTAAGACTGCTAATGAAAAGTTAGAAAGGTCCATTCAAGATGGTTCAAAATTTGCCAAAGATACATTGGAAAAAACACTTACAACTTCTCGAGCTGTGCGTCAGTCTGTGACTAAGTCTGTGATAGAAGGAACTAGGACAGCGGGCCTTAGGTTAAGGAGAACAAAGAAACCAGACAGTCTCGATGAAAATGACCCACAAAGATGTGTTTCAATGCCAGCTGTTGATGTTAGCTTATTTGACAATATACAATTCAATTCACCTCTTCTGGAACAAAAGAGATTTAACAATGATGGGATTGGTGCTCCGAAAAACCTGGAACACCCTAATTTACATTTGAATACATCCAATTTTGATGATTTGTCTCTGTTCTCTAGTAATTCAGATAATACAGATTCAGTTAGCAGTTATTCTTATGACATGAGCAGAGAATTAGAACATAATGCTTCTAGTTTAACTCTGGAAAGTGAACAAATGACATATGACATTCCAAAACCCTCTAGAACTAACAGCATAGTTAGTTCTCTGAGTTCAACATCTATTGGATCAAGTCCAGACATTCCAGAAAGAAGAAAAAAGAGGGAAAGTGCTGTATCAATGGAAGTAATGAGACAAAATTCTATGTATGAAAATTGGACCTTACCTTTCCAATCAACAAAAAGTTCAGTTTCTGTTAAAGAAGCAGTGCTAAATGACACAGAGTTGCCAAGGCCAAGTAAAAGTACAATATATGAGTTTGATCCTTTACAAGCAAGTACTTCACCACAGCGGTACGATGGTGTAAGCAATGAGTTGTTACTATTAGAATCCTTCTTAATTGGAGATACTTATGGTACGATAGTGGCCTCAGATACTACTGAGGATAGTTTTGAGTTTTGTGAAAGTGAATATTTTAATCCACCAACTCCACCAGAGCGTTCAGATAGTCTTTTTCCAGACACAAAGTCAACAAAACTAAATGTTGTTGATAAAGACAGAAATTCCAACTGGTTTGTCAGTGCAGACAATAATGATGCGAAATCTGTGTCAGAAGAGGAAAATAAACCAACAAATTCAGTTATGCAAAAATTCTCCCACATATTAAAATTTGAGAAACTAAATAAGTCATCCAAACCAGTTCCACAGAAGGTGGAGACTGTGGAAAGGCCACCAGTCAACTCATTGCCAGTGCCATACTTTAGTGGGTTACTGACACGGATTGTATCAGGAGTAGTCGAAGATTTATTTAAGAACTCACAGACGAGATTTTGTGTACTTTCTGATCAAAAGTTGATGTGTTACTCAGATCCAACAAACTCCATATTAAAAGAAGCTTACACATTGGACAATATCTACTCTGTACAGATTGTACTGCCTCTATCCTCTAGGTAAGTAAAGTTATTGCACAATTTCTTGATTTTCTATTTATCGATAAACTATATAATATAAACTTAAAAAGCCTTACAATAAATATCATCATTATCTGTTGTAATAACTATTTGTAACAATAGGACTAGACAACTGTCTTACTTAGACTAACTAGTCTCATCAGTTGCCCAATAAACTAATGTAGATACCTATTTGTTTTATTTTATTTTACAATTAATATACTTTACTACTAACATACTAGGTAGGTATTATTCCTAGGTTCAAGGCATTCACATATAAAAGCACTATTATTTATTAATCTAGTGCCACTAATTATGCAAAATCCTAAAAGTAAGTATTGACATATTAATGTATGTACAATGTATGCAGTATGCACCTAAATTATCCAAATTACCTTTATTTTGAACATGTATTGTTGAATGTGTTGCTGAGCGCAAATCTCGAAAACAATTGAACCAATTTTGGCTAGTTCAATCTTTTTTATTCAGTTTGTTATTGTTAGAAGAAGGTTCTTATGTTGGTTAGATGCACAGAATCAAAGGCAAACCAATTTGGAATAAACATTGTACGCTTGTTGCTGCAATAAAATACCTAATTAATAGTTTCTTTTTTGTTTTAGTACAACAAGTAACTCGTACTGTTTCGAGATAATGGTATCGTCGGGGGGCATGAGAAGCTCTCCTCGCAAAATACTGTTCAGCTGCGCGAGCGCTTCTGAACGTCGCAACTGGGCTCAAAAAATCGCGGAGCATTTGACCTGCGGGTTCTCAACTAAGTACACTTCGGAGTTCACCAGGTGTGGTTGGTGCTACCTTAAGGTTAGTGAACTTCAATTATGTTTACGAAAATGACAAATAGTATAGATATTATTGTATCGTAGGCTTTCTTATATGTGTCGTCACCGAGGTTACCAAAATTATTTGCAGCTGCGCGAATTTGTTATTGTATTTGTTCTTTAATAAGGTGTCCACATTATTTGCATTTCCCAGAGTTGACTACTTATATTATTGTGAGGTAGACAGTACTAACGGTAAGGTACTAAAGTGGTTAGTAATCTGTGTGTCAAGGTCCGAGAGAATGTTGAGTCAGGGAAGACTCGTATTTATAGAACTACATGATATCATTACCGGTACATATATTGTTACACTAAGTAGTCATACTTCTTCTATATAAAGTAAAGCCTACAGATGGCAGTCTTTGAACTCGGTATGACTCGTTTTCTTACAATTTTAATTGTGTGTACAACGCGAAAGTATCCATTTAGTCATCATGTAAACATTTTGTATCTGCTAGGTGCGTTGAACATTTGTCTATTCACTATTGCATTTGGTTTGGGTGAATTGTGGTTAACATGTCAAACATTATTGAGAGAAATAAAGTGTATAAAATAAATGGATGCGATCAATCTCCAATTCTAAATCTTTTCTCACAATTGCAGGAAGTTGTTTTAATAGGAACATTGTTATGACAGGATATCGATAGACTATGACGATTGTTTAATGTCCAGTGTTTTGTAATATCTCGATTATCTTATTACTTTGTAAGTGCTTTATTCTTATCGTCTCTCGAGATGATGAAAAAGAGATAAAAAAGTGGTCATGCGCTTACGCATGTGTCACATAAACGATGAGTAAGTTGATCATTTGGTCCTTGCGGTCTATTTGATAACAACTTACTGCAGTACTGGGAATAAAAAGGAAAGGCCGGAATGTATGACGCACTTGCATGATCTTTAATTACGTGCGTTATAAGAACAAAGTCCCACGACGACGTCTTGATGTGACATGTAGGTACTTCTTATTTGTTTTAAAATTTGAACAATTTTGATTTATACCTATTTAGTTCTTTTGTACATTCTTGAATAAATATACCATTTCTTAAACATTACTTTCTCGGATTAAAACCAATAGGTACGTTAAAGTTGGTAGTTGCTTTTGCAATCGAAAAATAAAGATAAAATAATTCCACTGTTGAACACAATTCGTAGAGTATGTTCCACACAAATAAGTAGCATTGCAAATATGCGACAATAGTCAAACAACGGTTTAAGTATTGACCTAGTTGGACTATTGTGCTGAGCCCACTCCTAGCTCTCGGCGCGACTACACTCCTAGGTACCTCGATTGGAGGGGCGAACAAGAATATAAGTGATGTGGAATTCGGTACAGATATCACGAATAATGACTAATGAGTTGAGTACGAATGCCAGAGCAAACTACGATTTTTAGTAGGTAGGAAAATACACCGAGTCTTATTATTTATTAATTAGGTATTTGTAATATGAATAACGTTTCTAGTGAAAAAAATATCCTTGCAATACTATTATTATATGAAAGTAGGTATCCCTGACCATTTTATAGCATTGTACCATTCCGTTGATTGTAATAAAAATTAAGATTGCTTTATATTTCTTTGTGATTTAAGATAAAGGAAAATTGCATTGGCTTTTAATTACTAATGGTAATCATAGAGCAAGGTTGTTATTTGGCTTGAAGGCGCCGGTTTAATATCATAGATGCATTGATATCAATTAGACCAAAGTACCCTTGATATCTTCATTAACGGTCCGGCTCGAAGTGCAGGAGTAGGAACGGGGTGGTTTTAGTCAGTAAGAGTGACACTCCCTCCCGCCTCTCCCAGGCGGGAGAAGTCATTCGATGATTTTCCCCTCTTAAAAAAAGGGTCATTAATGGTCAGAAACGTTATTAAATAGTAGTAGAATGAAACCTTTTGCAAAGAGCCGAATAAATAAATAATAAAAAAATATTATAAAAAAGTATATTATAACACAAAGCTAATTGTGCAATAAAATCTGTGTCTGTTAAGAACACAAACATATGCATTAAAACTATAAATGCAAAATAATATTGAATTGTTTGAGCACATACTCTCTACTAGTATTTAATGTTTATCAAAACATTGTAACATTATGTGTACATTATACGCAACAGCCTAAATGAGGGATGGCAGTTTATAAAAAATAACTAAAACCTACGTCGGAATAGCGCTAGAAATTCTTAAGTTAAACAACAAAAAAACAAGCAGCATAGTCGAAAATGTTAAATCGTATGTGCAGCACGATACATATATATGTGATCAGAAGGAATCAGCCACCAGCCACCTCAAGTAACTTAGAGTAATATAGGATAGGGATATACCCTGGCTGGAACATATTTATATGGTCAATCAACTACGACAACGCCATTCGTAGCTTGCTTCCATGGAAAACTAACCTCATTTGTTGAAAACAACATGTGACAAGTAACAGAAACATGTGATTTGTTGAATAAGAAATTGCTTTTGAAGTCATAGTTTCATCTTATATTTCTTATACTTTTCTTATCTTATACTCTTATACTCTTATACTTCTTAAGTATACTCTTATATATACTATTATATAAAGCGGAAGAGTTTGTTTGTTTGAACGCGCTAATCTCCGTAACTACAAGTCTGATTTGAATAATTCTTTTTGTGTTGGATAGTGCATTTATCGAGGATGGCTATAGGTTATAAAACATCATGCTACGACCAATAGAAGCTGAGCAGAGCGTGAAACCGCGCGGAAGTATCTAGTTAAATCAATAAAATCGGTTCTGTAGCTGCTAAGAAAATTGTACTGTTCAAAAATATCGGTTATGGTTTTTCTGCTATTCCATTAAACTGTCAAACACCAAGCGGTCACCGGTTACCGCAACCTATTGTTCTATAATTGTGTCTACAATGACGGTACTACTATTCTTTGATGGAACGTACTTCATTTAATTAATGACTAATATGAACACTAAACTGTAATAAATGTGTCATTGGATTCTAAATAATCTATTTATTGCAATAAATACTCCCATTCAATTGTCAAGTGGGTTATTTTATGAACCCGCATCATGTTCTTTCACATGTGACGCATGCAGATGCATTTTAACAAAGGGAATGCATCCCAGTATGTCCAAATTTGGGTTACTTATTTGCACTGACATTCATTTAGTTTGTTTTATTCTAGTCTCTTTAAAGGGGAAATGAAAAGTACTGTTGTACCACTCACGTATAATCATTTGAAATGTAACTAATGCTTGAAACAGGTGCAGTTGTTTACTAGTTATGGTACATTTTGTGTTACTAGAAAGCAAGAGATATAGTTGATAGTTTATCTTATTTGTTCAAAAGGGAAATCATCCAATGACTTCTCCAGCCCCGGTAAGGCGAGAGGAGTGTCAGACTCTTACTAACTAAAAACCACCCCGTTCCTACAACTGCATTTCGAACCGGAGTCCTGGCAATCCGTTAAGCCCTCCGCAGCTCCGTGTCGGCATCAGCCCTGTTGGGCCCCAACTGTGGTGGTCTGATTATTTTCCGAATGCATGCAACCTACAAATGACGAGAGGCAGCCAATATCTACAGTCTACACTCTACCTGACCTATATCCTGCTTACTTAATTTATCTACCTGGTACCATGGCACCATTACATATGTAGGTTTGTTCAAAATGTATCAGAATGAGTAACCTAGAAGTAAAATGGAAATGAACAAGTTAACGTTATTGTTATTAATGTTTCGATATACCTTACTACATATACTCCACTATCGTCTCTTCCTCCTATCATTGAGGAAAAAGGTTTCCACTGGTTTTACAGACCTCAGTCACCTATAGGTACATACGCGAAATATTTTTGTTGACAATATTTATAAATCTTGTTCCTTATGCGGGCTACAAAGTTACTATAACCTAATAACTATCGTGAGACATACTTAATTATATAAGTTATTCCCGTAAAAGTACTGAGAAAAGCTCTACTAGTTTCGAGCCAAGAGGGGTTCTTCCTCATGAGCAGCGTATACAAATTAGAAAGTTACATGGACAAAAGTATGTTTCTTATTTCTTCCCTGCATGGAATCTATTGTTGACAACTTTAGTGTCCAACTGCTGGTCTAAATCGCTCGTGATTTGTGTCAAGAGCTAATCTGCAGCGCTGCAGATTGCCGGTGATAGCAATAAATGAGAGGCAATTCATGTGTCTCTAGGCACAGTTTATAGCAGGCCAACACACTCCAATTTGTCAAATTGCTTTATTAGATTTCCAACTTAATATTTTTGGTATAAAGTCTAAAATCCCAATTTACCGATGGAAATATGTTGACTTTACTAAAATTGCGCGGGTTTAGCAATACTAATATTAATCTATCTTATAATACAAAGGTACATGTAAGTTCATAATAATAGAACGTTTATCGAAAATGAATTAATAATGAAGTCGCTAACGAGATGAGCCGTCAGCCATAAATACATTGTGTATTCATTAATGATAATAATTTATTTTTATCAAATTATATTTTGTTTCCTTACATAGCACTTAACCGTCATATTTAGATATTAATATACAATGTAATGTAAAATTAAATCTAAATATGTCATTTTGGGTTATACTTTCCTTTAACCAACGCGAGCACATTATTTATCCGTGTTCTATTTATAATAATTATTATGATCATACATACTAATTAACTGGACATTGGTTAAAGGCTTAATACACAACTAAGAAACACATTTCTGATAAATAGATATATAGGCAGCTGCCATTATGAATGCGCGAGTTGGAACAATAGAGGTATTTATTCCTTAATCAACTATTAATAAATATTATTGATGAAATGATGATATTGTTATTCATACTACACTAAATCAAATATTAATGGAAAACCAAACAATGATCAAAGAAACATTAAAGGTACAATGTGTTATAAGATGATAGGCACCAAAGTAAATAGGCACTTGTGTGTGCTATCTCCACTCGACAAATTGCGTCGATAATAACCAAATATTTAA